TGAAATTAATTATATTAAAATTAATTATATTAAAACGATAGATTTCATTTATCGAAAGTTTTTGTTTCGAGTTTTTATTTGATAATTTTCTGATAGATGCGTTTTTTTTTCTATCGCTTAGGTGGGTGGACGAGCCAATCAAGCAAATTCTCTCAAATTGAGCCCGTGAGCTCACCTGCCTACACGTCCGGGCGTAGCTGGAATGGCTATTCCATTATTCCTTACCTTCCTACCTTCCTACCAGCGAAAAGATAGAAAAACTAGAAATAGAAAAATAGAATAGATTAGTAGACTTTACTGGTGTTAGGACCTCTTGTGAGTCCGCACGGATAGGTACCACCACCCTGCCTATTTCTGCTGTGAAGCAGTAATGCGTTTCGATTTGAAGGGTGGCGCAGTCGTTGTAAGCCTGTTGTAAGCGTTGTAAGCCTGTTATACTAAGACCTGAGAACCATATCTCAAGGTGGGTGGCGGCATTTTCGTTTGTGAGCTGGTCCACTCATTTATGCCATAAAAAAAAAAACGTGTGCCCTAGTAAGAGCAACGCTTCGCTAAATTTAGCGCCGGATCGAAATCGCGACCCACTGAAAAAGCCGATGAGAAACTCAACGGGTTGTGTCTGTGAGTAAATCTCTCAAAACTGGCTTACTGTTCAACTAGTAAAATGCGGTCACGTTTCACTGCAATTGTCACCAAATGTACGAATATATCGATCGATACGTTGCAACTACTCGCGCCGGAACTTTCATAGCTTATGTTATATGTTAATAAATAATATAATGTTAATAAAGTTCGTAAGGGTAATGTGAAAAAAAGACAGTCTCCGAATTACCAGCAATCATTATTATTATACAAAGTTCAAAGTATGGACGATCTTCGATTATTATCAGGTCAGGATAACGAACACATAAATATTAATTTCGGTACAGATTGTTAATACGTTCTTTAGCCGAAACGAGAATAGACTAATTTAAATGATCGAAAAACTCATCTCACAAAACCCGCAATGGAATGTGAAGAGAATAAGTACATATACATATATTGTTATAGTATATGTATATATATTATTTTTATTGCCCTTGCAGGCAGACGAGCATACAGCCCATCTGATGGTGACTGGTTACCGTCGCCCATGGACTTCAGCAATGCCAGGGGCAGAGCCAAGCAGCTGCCTACCGTGCGACCTATATGCGACTTGCTGGTTGGTTTCAAATTACATTGCTTGGCAATGCAAAAAACATTATTAAAACGCAATTCGATGCCACGCTGATCACGATCGCCTTGTATTCAAAATAAGGAGAGTTGGAGACATTTCTTATTCACGTTTGAAATCTTGTTATGTCTAGGTTATTTTCTGGGAAACGTTGCTTGATGAGTAATATGATATTAAATGATATGTTATATCTGACTATATATGTAAATGATATATTATTATACTCATTGCGTTCCTTAATGTTTATATTATACAATATATATATTTGTGATGGCGCATAATTATTATATATATTATTCAGTTTTAATGTTAAATACTTTTTATCAAAACCATACCATTACCACTAATTACACTCACTCACACACTCAGTACTAAGTACAAAGGGTACGGGGTGATTTAGTTTAATTAATTAATTAAATCTTTCTTCGAACATTTTATTTCTTTTTTTAGTATTTTTCTAGTATTTTCTTTTTCTTTTTCTAGTTCTGGTTAATATTTTAGGAGTCACCAGTTCTGCTACCTCATCATTTTAGCGAACGGCAAATTGAAAGCACCCTGTATTTTAGATTATATGAGATGCTTTTCATCATACTTTGCCTTTGTCGGTACTTAATTATTGCTATTACTAATTATTGGTCCGAATTATCAAACTATAGAAAGCGACCCTGAAACTATATCTTACTTAACATCACAGCGTAATGGCAGTATCTTTATTTTATTTTTAAGCAATTCCTGTCTCCTACGGTAGCGTTTGTTGTAGGCCCGCATTGATACTAGAGGTGTTCTTATAGATTGTCAATCGCACTATTGTTGTATATAATACTCACAGACCTTTGCTGCTAGTTCTCCAGTGAATACCTTAGTCGTCTGGTGCGACAGAGCTTATATTAATGTAATATACGAGTAATCTAGCATAAGCCACAGTGTTTTGGTTTAATCATACATAAATATGGAACATATGAATTCTGAAAACCTACAAATATATCTGAGAAGGCGTCATTAATATCTTTTTTACTTTTACTGTTTTATAACGTCATCTAAGCTTAGGAATGCATTTTAAATTTTCTAACCATGTATTTAAATGTCAATCGTAAAACAAAACGAGTTATTAGTGTCGTCGTGGCCCAACGGATAAGACGTCCGTCCGGTGCATTCGTGTTGAGCGATGCACCGGTGTTCGAATCCCGAAGGCGGGTACCAATTTTTCTAATGAAATACGTACTCAACAAATGTTGACGATTGATTTCCACGGTGAAGGAATAACATCGTGTAATAAAAATAAAACCCGCAAAATTATAATTTGCGTAATTACTGGTGGTAGGACCTCTTGTGAGTCGGCGCGGGTGGGTACCATCACCCTGCCGTGATTTCTGCCGTGAAGCAGTAATGCGTTTCGGTTTGAAAGGTGGGGCAGCCGTTGATAATTGAGACCTTAGAACTTATATCTCAAGGTGGGTGGCGCATTTACGTAGTGGATGTCTATGGGCTCCAGTAACCACTTAACACCAGGTGGGCTGTGAGCTCGTCCACCCATCTAAGCAATAAAAAAAAAAGGTTTCAAAAATAACTTAAACATGTAATGACGTAATTAGAACAATATGTTTTGTATATTACTGCCGTATGCAGACTAGCTTCTGTCCACCCTGTAAGTCGTTAGTGTCTAAAGCAACTAAGCTGATTTAGGTAACAGTTTCCGTTTAAATACGCCGAAAATGTAATTAACTTTTAATTACAATTTACACGGGTCATTTTGTTCTACACGTGCTGTTTATTATATTATAATTTTTCGTATCTGAACCAAAGAAAAATATCGAAATTCGATATTAAAGTTTCAGTAATGATTTAAAAATAGCAAGGAAACGTTTATTTATTGGCGCCTAATCTGTTATCTACGACACTAACAAAGTCTATTCGTTGATTTCAATTTATTCGAGTTCTAGTTATTTTTCATCAAAATTCCATTTTAAATGTAACAAATACAATAGTTCTCTAATTTTTTGGAATTTAATATTGCGTAATAACATTTTGTTTTTCTTATTTTCCGAAGCTAACACCAACATTGTTTTCGCTGGATGATCGTTATGACGTGACTCATTCAGTAATTAATATTGTTTTGTTGTTCAATATATACACAAATAGACTAGCATTTTTTTTTTTTTGGAAATGAAATGTCATAAATTTGTTTAGTCATAAAGACGTAAGAAGTGAAAAATAAAAGCATTATGTAGTCGATAAAATTGTTTCATCCATTGATTTACGTTAAGCGATTTGGCAAGTTCACCGCAACGAGATTGATCGCGCTGATAAATATAGAGGTAATTGCGCTTATTTTCAGCTGTTTGTTTATGTTTCGCGAGAGTTTAAATTAGTCACAGAATTTAAGTGGTAATTAATTAATAGTATTTTTCTTACTATAGAACGGAACGGTCGAGTCATTCAGTTTCTTGGCTGGACCCGGTCCAAACAATTATTCTAGTATTGTTCTTGCGATTTTTAATAATTATTTTTGTTATTTCCAAATTAATCTCACGCGTAAGATTCACGTTTAAGATGAACGAATAAAATTTTAATGTTTTGTTTTAAAACGAATGAGATATCACGATGGTGCTCATAAAATTAATGTTTCGTATTGCACTTTTACGATCGTCGGTTTTTTTTTTCTTCTCGAAAAACATACTGCGCGCGATAAAACGAGAAATGACTCACAATTAAAAAAAAATATATCTATAAAGAATCTCAGGGCAATTAAATCACCGAATAAAATGATATTTTGTTTGTAGACGACGGTCAGGTGCGTGCGTAACGTAAAACGGAAGCCGATACAGCAGACCGGCCGCGACAACACACGCCCTTCGCACTAATCACATGCACCGATTAAATCAACTCATTGATCTTATCTCTGACACAGCCTTAATCAAGGAAAACGTGTCATGAGCTTTATTAACTTTGTAAGTAACAGGAAAAAAAAATGGTTTAGATGAGTAAATTACTTATTGAAATTGTAATCATTCAGATTAAGCGATTGGCTGAGCCTTTGCTCGCCCACCTGTCCTGGTGAAATAGGAAAGGCCTCCGGGTCACCAGTAATACTTCAATAATAAAATAATAATAAAAAAAAGCGATATGGTCTTCTCGCATTAAAACTGTATAATCTCAAAACTTACTAATTTTACAGGAGAGTATTTTAAAGGTTTTACATGTAATATTTTTAATATTAATCATCTTTGCAACATTTATTTTTTATCTTTTACCAGTTACATTATCGGTCTTTTAAAGTAAGGTAAAAGTATATATTAATTTTGTTAATAGTAGTCAAAACATAGGTAAATAAATAAAAAACTAAAACTAAACCACGCTCTTTTGATAGTATTTATGAGAAAAATACTGGTGATACCAAATGTTTACGCATAAAAAGTCAATTTCGAATATTTTTGGTAATTGTGCACTTTTAATGCGAAAAGGCGAATTATTACAATCAATTTAAAAAATTTAAAATCGATAAATTTAAATTCAGTATTTTTCACAAATAAAATAAATTAGTAAAATCTATACTAATATATAAATATATAGTGGTTTTTATGGATGTTTCGTTATAACTACTGAACCATGCATCCGATTGACTTGAAACTTGGTATCCATGTAGACAATACATGTACTTAATGGATAGGCTAATATTTATATGAGTGTTGGACTCCCTAATAATAATGACAATAAATAATAATGTTAATTTTAAATGCCCAGCGAAACGGGCGAGTACGGCTAGTTATATTATAAAATAGTGTCTTACCTGCTGCCGGGCGCACGAGCACGAGCGGCAGCACGAGCAGCGGCAGCAAGGGCAGCCGCATGCTACCGGTGGCGTCGCATGCCGGCGCGTGCGGCGCTCTGCGCTCGACGCGGGCCGCCGTGGCACTGTGCGGGCCCGGCGCCGGCACGTGCGCGCACACCCACNAAACGGGCGAGTACGGCTAGTTATATTATAAAATAGTGTCTTACCTGCTGCCGGGCGCACGAGCACGAGCGGCAGCACGAGCAGCGGCAGCAAGGGCAGCCGCATGCTACCGGTGGCGTCGCATGCCGGCGCGTGCGGCGCTCTGCGCTCGACGCGGGCCGCCGTGGCACTGTGCGGGCCCGGCGCCGGCACGTGCGCGCACACCCACCCGCGGCCGCGCCTCCTGCAACAAGTGACCGCTGCACCGCCGCCGTAGCCGACCGATGCCGCGCGACACATCCGACGCCGCTGCTTGCCCTATCGGAGAGTCGACGCGGACTGAGCTCGAGCGCGCCCAGCCGCCACTGCAAGTGCACCGACTCGTGCGGAGAGGCGTGTCGACGACCTCCTCCCGCGGCCTTCCGCCTTCCACATACACCCCGATCACTCATTATTATTATTCCCCAAAAAATTCCCGAACTTTCCTAAGGTCGGTGATGATTTAAAAAAAAAAAAAAGAAGATGTGTGGTGTCGTGGGACACCGGATAGGAACGAAGTTCCTTATTATAAAAATATTAATTTTAAGTTCTATTCGAGGCATAAAGAAAATAAAACTGGAGGTTTCTCGACAAACCACGGTCATTCGGTAACGTGCGAACTTATTGTGGTACACTCCATTCACGGTTGTTTGCACAAAAGTTAGTGCATTGCGTAAAAGAACGCTCTGAGATCGTGGTCAATGAATGATAAAAAAATATGTTATTTTTTATATATTATTACAAAGTTAAGTCGTATACTGTGTGCATTACTAATAAAAATCTTACGTTACAGACGTTTTTTCCCGGTTAGGGTACCCCTCCGCATCGCCCCATAAGGAACTTCGTTCCAAAAAACCGTATTTTTCATCTCCATTTTTTAGGATCCGCAAAGAAACATAAGACTATAGTAATCCACAAAGTTGACCATAAAAGTTAGACAACAGCGTAATCACCGTTAAGATTTAGGATGTTGTCGATAATATTATTGGATCAATGAACTTTTGTCGGCTTAGCGTTGAAGTCTTTTCAAGGGCAGTTATTAGTAGAGATACGGAAAAAAATGTCTTATCGGTCTAATAATAAAATATTCAAAAAACTTCTAACACTGTTGACTAGGCATTGTAAGCAATATTCTCGGTAAAGTGAATGCTTCGGAATATAAAAATTCCCAACACACCAAGCCGAAACAAACCTATCAAGTATGTTAACCAAAATTGTGAAACAAAAGTCATTCTGCAAAAAAAACACTTCGAAAAAGCCCGGTAGCCGACGACCAGCTATTAGTGGTAATTGTTTCAAAATTCGCCTCATGATTGACGATTGCATGTCTGCACGATGGATCTGAAGCATATACGTGAGACGAAGCACGTGTTGCTTCAAGGAAACGCGTACATATTTACTCTACCAATACCAAATTTAATTCGTCGCTCTAGTTTCACCCGATACTGTTAAAAGTGAGGCCTTACAACTAACTCATGTCTCGAGGTGGGTGGCGGCATTTACGTTGTAGATGTCTATAGACTCCGGTAACTACTTAACATCAGGTGAACCATCAGCTCATCTATCCACGTAAGCATTAAAAAAAAACTTCTAAAACTCGACCAGGGCCGTGGTCGTCGGTGTCAAAACGCCACACCAGTCACGAATCATCCGCAGTCGATGAAAACACGTAATCTATACATCTATACATATAAATAAAATTGGAGTGTTTGTTTGTAATATTGAAATAACCTCTTTTTACTACATGCATATGAATATATATATACGGCACATACACCAAACATTAACATTTTTTACAATTTTTGTTTGTCTGTCTGTTTGTTCCGGCTAATCTCTGAAACGGCTGGACCGATTTCGACGGGACTTTCACTGATAGGTAGCTGATGATATAAGGAGTAACTTAGGCTACTTTTTATAGACTAGCTTTGCCTCGCGGCTTCACCCGTGGTACGACAATAACCGCGGGTAACATCGCGGGACTCAGCTATCAATAATAAAATTTTATGTTTCCGAAGCGAAACGAGGGCGGGTCGCTAGTGTATAATATAATTCTTCGACGATGTCTCTTTTCGGATAAATTATGGGCCGCGTATACAAAATTTTAACGACGATAAGTGCCCATTCGGGGAAGGGCGTCATTTGTTTCTGTCAAATTAAACGGACACGAGCGTCGCGGCTTCGTGTTCGACGCGTCCTTACGAACAATGAATGTCGTTTTTTTTTGCCTACGAAACTTGCATCGTGACGCATCGGATGATGATGATGATATAAGAAAAACTGCATCGTCAGTCCATTTAAACTACTGAATTGACATAATTGCTGATGATGTGATCATGCGAAGATGTGCAATGTGTGTGTTTCTGTAACGTCGCATTCTAATATGTGTGTGTGTTTTTTTTATATTGTTTATATGGGTGGACGGGCTCACAGCCCACCTGGTGTTAAGTGGTTACTGGAGCCCATAGACATCTACAACGTAAATACGCCACCCACGGCTGCCCCGCCCTTCAAGCCGAAACGCATGACTGCTTCACGGCAGAAATAGGCAGGGTGGTTGTACCTACCCGTATGGACTCAGGAGGTTCTTCGAAGACTTGTGGGTTTGAAGATGTAGTGTATAGACAGGGCAGCAGCAAGCAAACGAGTCATCGACGTCTCAGTCTTTCTGTGATGCAGACCTGAACCTTTCATTTTTTCTCCGTCCTTTTTATTTTGTATTTTTTTCTGTGTTACAATTTCTGTGTTGTAAAATCACTTTGATTTAAAAGCATCTGTGTTGTATAGCCGCACCAGTAGGTATCAACACCCTGCCTATTTTTGCCGTGAAACAGTAATGCGTTTCGGTTTGAAGAGTGAGACAGCTTGTACTGTAAAAATGAGACCTTAGAACTCATGTTTCAAGTTGGGTGGCAGCATTTACGTTGTGTCTATGGGCTCCGGTAAACACGTAACATCAGATGGGCCGTGAGCTCGTCCAACTATCTAAGCAATAAATAAATAAAAATAAAAAATATTATTACCACATATTTTTTTCTTCTTGAATTCGATCTTGAACGGCGTACCAGCATTTTGCTGATTATGATCTTATCTCAATATCGGGTGAGTCATGAGAACTCGTCTAGCAGCCAAAGAATTTCGCAAATCTCGTATAGATTTGAAAGAGAAAATGAATGGACAACGTGTGATTGAAGCTAGATTAATTCTTACAAGCAGTCACGCAGTGTTAAAGAATCAAATTAATATATTAAGGGGAAAGTGCGTTAATATCAAGGAACTGGCGAAATCTGTCCACCCACGCGATGTGCGGCAAAAATATTTGAGCCCGTCAAACTCATTGTGACTCTAATGACGTGGATTTGCGTATTTCAGTTGATGCATTCACCGCGCTTTCTTGCTAAATATTCTATTCAATCAAAGATTAAAATAATATAAGACAGATGTTCAATAAACTAAACATCAGGATCGTCACCCCGTTAGCACTGTCTACAGCAAACTTAAAATTAAATATGATAGTTACAATTTCATGGACCGAATTGTTATCGCGCATTATTAGATTTCATACCTAATCAAAACTATATTTACGGTTGAATCTCGCATTTTCTTATTATCATTATTATTCGAAATATAAAATGAAAATTAAACTATAGACACTAGGTGGCAGCACTTCAGTGAATGCATTATAATTGAGTGTTCTTGCTGTGTAAGTAACTGAAGAGAATAAATAAATTTGAACTATTTTAAATTGAATTGTTTTTTAACCAGAAACCGATAACCTAATAATTATATTATTATTTCCGATGCTTCGAATAATTTGCTTGTTTTTTTCCTACCTATGCTGATAGCCTTGAGAGGCTATTTCAGTTTCACCCTAACGTGTGTAGGTGAGCTCACGGGGCTCAAACCGGAGTGTTGCTAACACTGACCCTAGCAAGAGTAGTGCTTCGCAGAATCTACCACCGGATCGGAAACGCGACCCACTGAGAAGATCCGGCGAGAAACTCAGTGGGCATAATTTGCAGTTTTCGTGATCACATACGACTCTAAGGTGTAATTTGTCGACATTTGATTATTTTCATAACTGATTCTGGGATTCCGTGCTAATTGACTTTAGGATTCCTTTATAACATACATCCGGCACCTTTGCAATTAACAAAGTTGTCAAATCTTTTGAAGCGTGACGCGGACCGCCACGAGGTAGAAATAGCAAAGAGCCGCATGGTTTTACACAAACATTGTGTTTGGCATGTAGACGGTCGTTACCGCGATATTGTGCAACATACAAATTCGCTCTATTCATGTCAGATGCACGTGAATTCGAATCTAAACGAACGAAACGATCGCACGGAAATAACAATTGTAGCTTGAACTAAGCATAGTTTGTGTTTATTAACGCAGATTGTGTAACTCGCAGTTAGATTCTCAATCTAACTTCTCGCAGTTAGATCTTCTCGCAGTTAGATTCTCAATCTAACTGCAAGTTCTCATTTGCGTATTCTAAGTTGAGTAGAATGTAGTTACTTTTGCTATTAAAAGGTGAACGAGGAAGAATATAAGGTAATGATAATACAAAAAATAACAATAAGAAATCTAACTTCTCGCAGTTAGATCTTCTCGCAGTTAGATTCTCAATCTAACTGCAAGTTCTCATTTGCGTATTCTAAGTTGAGTAGAATGTAGTTACTTTTGCTATTAAAAGGTGAACGAGGAAGAATATAAGGTAATGATAATACAAAAAATAACAATAAGAAAGCCGATTTCACCGAAACGAAATGAGAATGAGGTACAAATAGTCTAAGTTTTTTTTTTATTTTTTTTATTGCCCTTGTAGGCAGACGAGCACACGGCCCACCTGATGGTAAGTGGTTACCGTCGCCCATGGACTTCAGCAATGCCAGGGGCAGAGCCAAGACTGCCTACCGCAAAAGCCGCTGCCTACCGCAAAAGTAAAGTAGATAAAATCTGTATTGTTCATGATAACTACTGATCAGATCTCGATAAATTTTAAACGAGACCGTATGAGAAGTACCAAGCTTTAAAATAAAAAATCCTCAAAAATTGCATTACCAAGAAAAAGTTCTGAGTAGAAAAATGAGTCGCATTGATGATAGATAACCTTTAATTTTTTTGACGTCAGTTTAATTTGTAATCTTCTCGATACTTATTTCGTAAGTAATCTATGATTATAATGAATGAGAAAGGAAAGATCCTACAACGGGCATGTATATAATTGTTGTTTAGATATACTAGGGTGTAAAATATCTTGAAAACATAATTGGTGTGATTCAGACTTCTGTCAATTTTTTATTCTATGATAGCTGCGTATGTGTGTTTTGGAAT